AACGTAATTCTCACAAAGAACAATTTAGCAGACCAAAGAGCCCAGAAGTGTGGATTATGTGCGCCTTATTTCTTTCGTCTCTTATGCAGAGGCCTTTGTAAAAATGTTCTTTGTTTTTTTTTCAAGAAATTTCCATCATTTTATTTTTTGCCACCGAACAAGAAGCTTTAGAAGTTTGGGTAAATTTTTTAATTAACATAAATATATTTTTTCTCCGCCAGACGATATTTGTCAGAGCGGATCTCTGTGTTAATGTACATTTCTTCCTAAGGCTTTAATCTTGTGATTTCTTTCCGTGAGAAATAAAATTAAATCACGTAAATACATGATCCAAACTTGAGAAGAGATGGGAGGCTACATCTGTCATTTGACTTGCAGATTTAAGAAATAATCACAATTGAGTTCAAGCCACTTGGAGTATAGTTGGAAACTAATCTTGACATTTTGTTTCTATTTAATATATCTGCAAATTGGCCCGTCTAAATTTAATATTTTCGAGTCATAAAAATACCATTTTTTATAACTTAGAAATTGTCTATTCATCACACATTTGTTAATATTAATGCGACAATAGTACGTGATAATCATTTCAAAATTTTTGCAAAACTCATTATCATATTTCAAATTCGCATATTCTCGCATTGAATATTTTACCACCCACCCTCCTCAATTTCAAAAGCCACATATACTTTTGTCCCATGGAATACTTTACGCCGTCATAAAAAATATCACAAACAAATAAACAACCACCCTCCCTTCCGACTCCTCGATTTCGCGTTATAGACCAAATACATGTTTACCATGCCGCCGTTCTAAAAATTGAAAGTATTGAACTTTTCGATAAAAGTGATATGGCATAATTAACGCAAATGTTGTCATAACTTGCGATAGCTTTTTTTCAAAGAACTCTGAAAGAAAAAAACAAACTTTATTTGTTTACATTCTTCCACGGCGTGCCAACGCAGCATATTTTATATACGAGCTGAGAAAAATGCCCTTAAAAAGAGTTCAAAAACTTTGTTTCAACCCCAAAGACGATGGGGGTGGTTGGGATTGTTTTTTTATTTGAGCTCCTACCAAATTTGGCAGTTACAGCAACGCAGATATTAATATATGGCACTAAATTATAACTTTTTCCCATTCCCCAAAAGCGAAACCAAAGATAGAGCGGGAGGAAAAAACCAAAAAACGGCACAGACAATACTCGAACAACAACCTCTGCGAAAAATAAGCGAAAACCTATGAGATCCACAAGCAGTGGAAATTTCAAATATGCAAACTGATAAAAATTAAGTCTTCCACAAAAAAAAACCATCTCGACAATTTGAAAAGCACTGTGGCCAAATATTGAGGCATTGAAGTGAAATTGTAGCATACATTAGGGCGCTGCAATGCCAAATAAATATTTGCATAAATTTCAGGCTTAAAGTTTTACTTCTCCATTATTATGGAGAGAAAAATGAAACTACTGGAGCAAACTTTTATTTATTTTTTGTTTGGGAGCGAGTGAGAAAAAATATTAAATTTTTGTGCTGATTATTGTAGTTTTGCCTAGTTTTCGCTCCATAACTTATGAACAAAACAAAAAAATATGTTATTGTCCAAGTTTGTAGCAAATTTTTATTTTTAGAAATGTGATTTATGATTTTACCGAGAGAGAGACAGAATAAAAATAACATATGGCTAGTGTGTGTGAGGGATTGCCGATAAAGGTAGGCATATTGACCAGAGCAAATATATGGCGCACAACTTTTTAATGGATCCATAAAATGTGTGAAAATGGAAAACAACTAATGATTTAATGGTGGACATAAACTAAGGGAAATTAGTTTGAAAATAAAAATGGGATTTATGGAATTTAGGGTAATTACTATTAAATTGTCGAAAATTTTGAATTCGGAAAAAATAATGAAAACAAAATTCCATTTAACGCTTTTTTAATATGAGTGTGTATTTAAGAATTTAAAGATTTGGGATTTGAAAATATTACACTTAAATTGATCAAGAATCAAATTGATACAAACCGGGAATGTGACTGGGACATAAAAAATACCAATAATTGATCATTGGCATTGAAAATATTTTAACTGAAGGTGGATATTTATTCCTATTAGGATATCGAAATATGATACTTCGACAAAAAAATATGTAGCCAAGACCTTAAAAATAATAAAATTAGCAATTTGGGGATTGTTTTAAAATGAAAGAGAGCTTTAAGGCCATAATTCCGCAATATACCAGACTTCGAGTAGGATAATCTCACCCCATTAAAAAATAGGACATTAAAAATTACAGACGTTGGAGCAATTTCATAGTGATCTAGTGCTCAAACAAAAGAGAGAGCAATTTTACGGAAATCAGAAAAGGTCCGATGAAGATTTAAAATGGTATGGTCGCAAATAGCATGTAGCCTTTATATATACCCATGCCGAAAAAAAGGACATTGAAATTTGGAAAGCAGATCAAATAGTCATGCCAGTATCCTTCTCACCAGTTATAGCTATCCACAGTGCTCCTTTCTCAGCCCTTTGATACGAAATCTTCATATAGGAAAGACTTGGAAAAATAAGTTCTACTAATGAATCTATCTCTTCAGAGATGGCTTAAAAAGAAGTTGTAGTTTAGGTTTAAGTGTTTTTGTTGAAGTTAGAAAAACATATCAACCTCAGTAAAACTCTGCCAGCCCGCAGTCTTTTTTAATTAGATGAACTTGCCAGATCGCAGCAATCTGCATACGATCCTGCTATTGATCTCCTCGGTACAAAACACGGTTACAAAATGACTACGTGTTTTCCTATTTCGGAAAAAAGGCCTGTTTAAGGTCCAACCGTCATAAATCCATTAGGTTAGGCAAAGGTTATAGTTGTGGGGGTCCGGCCATGTGATACATTTCAAGACAGTAATGGATCGAATGATGCAATAGGTGCAACCAGTTTTAGTCAATTTCTTTTTTGAAGTCATGCAAACGTATTACCTTTAATTTTTGACCGGCGGCTTTTGCCCTGTATTCGTGCGAAATTCCGTGTCGATTGGTCTATAATTGTGACCTGTAGAGCGACTTCAAAATCAGCTGTGGCGTGATTACAATTTAGCATGGATAGACGGGCGCAGTGCTAAATCGACTCAGCTCGCCGAGAAAGGAAGATGTATAACAAGATCGTGGATTTAGGATCAATATTTCGAGGTGTTACAAACTTTTTGGTCCAATCATACATGTAATGCCCCCAACACATAGTGTTGTAGGGTATAATAATGACTTCCTTGTAGAATATAATGGCCAAAACAATTTCAAGGACTTCCTAAAATTCCTTTATACAAAAGGTACTAAAAACGGACGAAAGGACATTTTTTTAAATTTTCTTAAAAAATGCACGATTTATTGATCAGGATCCTTGAAAAAATATCAAAAAATATGTGATTCTTAGAACGGAGGTCCTTGAAAAAATCCACTATTTTATAAAGAGGATTTCGAATTTTTTAATCGGTTTTATTGAATGTAGATGTTCTTGAGAGGTCTTGAAAATCTGAAATTAAAAATCGAAAGTCCTTCTTTAATGGTTCACGATTTCTTGTCAGAAATTGAATAAGACAATTTTATCCTGAAAGGAATATTATAAAATTAATGTTTTTATTTTCAATTCCCAACATCCAAGAAGGTTAAGTTCCTCCTACAAAAATATGATCTTAGACACGGAGTTCCCCAAGAAACCTAACCTTTTCTGTCTTTAGGGGACAATCTTTGCGGCCGATGAGACCTATTAGTTCTGTAACGATGGGACCTTTTGTACAACTTTTATCCATCTCTCTTATCTTAAAAGTTTGGTATTGGAAATTTTCGGGCTTTTTAAATATTGCAGAAACTGTTTTCATCTGAAAGAGCTGTTTCCGGTATCTGTAACAATTTTCTGCGAAAATTTCTCATCATAGTAGTTATGTGGTATGTCATTAATAGGATCAAGTCTCGTCTAAGAGTTCTAAAATGCAGAAATGTTAAACATAGAGTTATATCCTTAACCACCTTTATATGATGGTATTGGCATATCGTCCATATAACGGGAGGACATGGACGTCCGATTTTTAGGAAAATGAGATTAAAGAGTCGACACGGTCGAATTTAACTAAATTTCCAGTTGGCACTTTATTCACGAAAAAAGTTAATATTTGTTTAAAACACGATTTTTATATTCTTATATTCCTATATTCATCCGACCTCAATCATCCGGTATTTCACATGCCTGAAATAATGCTAATCCCAAAACGTCTTTTTCTGCTGCCTTTTCCGTGAACTTTTCAAAATCCACCATTCACTTATTTTCTTACCACAAGCAATCCATTTCGTTTGACGACAAAAAGGAAAGGAAAGAAGAGCGAATAAACAACATCCAAAGTCATTAGGCGACAAAAACAAAAAAAAAATGCTTCAACAAAAACTTTACCATGATGGTCCTGCCATTATTCCCTCTTAAGGTGGCTGGTATACTGCTAGCAGCCCACACATATTCCCAATAAGAAAACAAAACATTTATCTTTTGTTTTTGTCACCTTCGGGCGTATTGGGATAACACACAGAGTGTTGGCCCCCTCACCCGAAGACGTTTCGCCGCGCTCCCCCTTTGTTGTTGAAAATATTAAACACTTCAAGTTTGACAACAAAAAGGTTAACAATCGTACATTTTAATACCACCGTCGACCTTCCCCTCAACAAAGATATACACATTTGATGCGCCCTCCTTACCTAAGTAGCTTGGGGTCCATGTGGAAAATTGAAAAGTTTCCATGGCACATTTTGTCTTTCGTTTTTTTTTTTTGTTTTGGAAAATACGAAAAAAGTGTTAAAGGAATTTATTTAAATTCTTAATGGATTGTCACTTAAGTCGCTAGACTTTTTTCTGGTTTGCTTGTGGCTTTCCCAACTGCTTGTCTGTCGCTTAGCGTCTGTGTGGTAAAGAAAGTCAACGAAAATATAGAAATAAAACAACAACAACGACATCAGCACTTACCTTGTATGGGAACGTAAATATTTAAATACAAACAATCCTCTGATTGATTTAGCAAATATGGCAGTAAGCGTTTCAAATACTCATAGCGACCCTTCGGCATACGTTCCAGCGCTGCAGTTTGATTGCCTATATCGGGCAAACGTTGCGGGCATACAGGACTGAACCTTTTTTTTTTGTTGCGCACAAGTTGACGTCATGAAAAAGGCCAAGAAGAAGAAGAAGATGAAAAAAAGAAAAGATTTCAAAGATTAACATTGTGTATTCATAAAATTACCAGAACCGAACCAAAAAACATAAAAGAAAACATGATTTTCTCTGGGTGTTGGTAATGGTGGTATCCATTATTATATCAAAGAAGCGAAAACGCAGAGCAACGAAAACTTTCTTCTTTTTTTCTCTCTGTTGTTAAGTTTCCTTCCTTTCATTCTTTTAGTTTATTGGAAAAGTTCTTTTTTAAGATTTTTCCTCTGCCTGTTTCCCTCCCAAAAGTTTTATAGTTTAAGTAACATTTTTGAAGTCTCTTCAAACTTGATTTGAGACCATTTCAATTTGTTTGCAATGTGCAAATTCATCAATGACCATTTTAATTGTATTTTCTTGTGAAAAAGTGAAGGAAAATGGTTTTCAATGAATAAGATATTTTATAGAGGTTTGTTTTTTGTTGGAGAGAGTTATGAAGCTGCCTATGAATTTTTATTTTATAAATTGTACATATATGTATGTTATGTAAAAAAGTGATATAGTTCAATGTATTGAGGTTGAATTTTATGCTAATTGGAAAATATTGAGTTCTTTACAAGGGCGATGATATCAAATGGGGTAATGAACACAAAAAAAAATATTGTATTTTAAAGCTCACAAATTCAAATTTGTAATTTTGAAAAGGGACAATTAAAATATAAAATCCAATTTTCATATTTTTTACATCCTGCACCATACATAGTCTGGAGTATATATTATATATTTTTTTTATTTTATTTATTTATTTATTATTATTTTTTTAATTCATCGAAACATAAATTTTAGATCCACGCTAGAGTCCAAATGGTATGTGATATAGGGCTACTATTTTGCATAGAGTTGTATTTCGTCTAAAGGCAGTTCAATTTCGAAGATGAGCTGTATAGGTCGAAGCTTTCATATAGCCCCTCCCCATTTTCAGTGTTTTTATGATTTTAGCCTAATCCTTAGGCCCATCTTCGGAATAGCTTAAAATTCGATATTTGAAGTTTTTAATTGGTTTTACTCCCTATGGCAGAACTTTGCCTATGAAGGTCCTCGTTATAGAATAGCCCACATATAATTGTAGCTATCGATTTTATGTGCTTTGAAGACCTTGCATTTTCAATTTTTATACCTTCCACCATATTATGGAGGGTTTATTAAATTTGTCATTCCGTTTGTAGCACCTCAAAATATACATTTAGACCCCACAAAGTAAACATATTCTCAGCATAAAATTCTATGTCGATGTCCTTCCGCCTGTCCATCTTGCAAATAACTCTAGCTTCCGAACGAAATCAAGTAGGTTGATAAAATTTTAATCAAATGTTTATTGTGTCTGCAGGACTTTAGGAAAAGCAAATGGGCCATGTAGGTCCACGTTTTGATATAGCCCCCATAAAATTGTACATCCCTATTTTCGGTATTATGGTGATTTAAGCGACATTATTTACCGGAAATGTTTTAAATTTGGTATATCAAGTTCGGAATGGATATTACAGAATAACACAGAAAATTGTCCATATAGGTCTAAGTTTTGGTATAGCGCCCGGTACCTCCCGATATTTGTTATTTTGACGATTTTATGTACATTATATACCGACTTTTTTCAAGTTTGGCATTTGAATATTCTAATGGCTTATAACAAAAGTTGCATATGCAGGTCCATTACGTCGTATGAAACCTAATATAACGGCTACATTCGGTTTTTTAAGATTTTAAAATAATTTTTAACGGATTTTACTCATTCATTTATTTATTTATTTATTATTATTATTTTTTTTTAATTGCCAAACTCGTTCCAAATGGTATAGGGTATTCAAAGTTCTGTCCGGCCGAACTTACAGCTTTATTTACTACTTGTATATTGTCAAGTCTTGGTAGGTAGAACATATCTAAAAAGTTGTCAATATTTATCCAGGGTCTCATAAGGACCCTATATCACACTATACCCCATTTGTCGACTAAAATCTGAGTCTTGGGTTCACAAACAGTAGAAGGCTGCCGGAAAAACTATTCAGTACATGCAGTCCCCAAATTTAAGGGATTTTGAGGACAAGCGATTATGCCAAAATTTACACCACAATTCCAAATATTCAGTATTTCGAGGTTATAAGCCCGATTTGTTCATACATTTAAGATAACGTTTCTTTCTATAAAAATCGATCCACATTCTTATACATGGAATCTTCTGATTGAATATTTTAAGTTTAAATTATTCAAATTTGTAGCTTTTCGAATTCCCAAGTATTTAAATAATATAGGTCTAATATTTACCTCCTAACAACCAAAAAAAATTAAATATCAGCTTTATTTCTCAATAAAATTGAAAGTTATTTGAATTAACCGCTGATAAAATGTCCCTCTAAAAGAATCTGTCAATATGGGTACACATTTAAAGTCAAAATGGTGCCAGCAGATGTAAGTATTTTAAAAGTCCTTTCCACGCTACTAAGCCTTATTTTTAATCGATTTAATGGAGGTATTTTAATGCTGTATGAGACCTCTAGTACCAAATATCCTCGCTATATTATTGTGATATTAAGAAGTCTAAAATAAAATAAAAAAATCGGTGGAAATATATATGCAGAGTTATGCCAACCAAGTTCGATCCAACGAATTAGTTCCTTATCTAGTTCCGTGGACTCTGGTAGTTTGTATGCGTATGAGTGATGTTAAATTTGTGAAATTACTCATACGTTTAGGAACTAGTGGACGGAATTATGAACAGTATAGACGCAACTCTATAAAGATAAAGCTATACCTCAGCCGAATTGGCCTAAATTTAGCAGACATTTTCCGTTTGGAACTCGATGCAAGCTAATTGCCTCAAAAATTCAAACTTATTGGACAAATATTGTTGAATCATTTACTATGTCCAAATCTGAACAGATCTCGAAAAAAATTTACGCAGACATTTCTTTACGGTATATAATATCTTGTACCAACTATCATTGTTATGGAGTACATATAACAGCTTTGGAGGACTAAATATGAAATATGTAGGCTATCGATTTTCACAAAACTCTATATATCTATTTCTGGACGAAGTTCGGTCGTATGTGACAAAAAGGCTTCCTACATAAAATTTAGTGTACAATCAACTTCGGATCGGACTAATATACATATGACATGAATATTAGAATCTGAGACGATATTGAGGAAATTTTGGAAATATATTCTTAGTATCTGTAATATTGTGCTAAATATAATTTTATGGTGTACATATTGGTGAACTTTAGTATCAAATCTGATGAAATTTATATATGTTAGGTGTAGTATATATATCTGAGCAGATTTTAAAAACCCCAAATTTTATAAAGATACTTCTGGGCTATATTCTGTCGTATGTGCTAATATTCATGTTATTGGGACATATATTTCGCATTTGGGATACAATACACCGGAATTGGGACGAGAGGCATACAACTAACTTTCTCAAAGAGTGACATAACTCAAATAAAATGTGTTATTTTTGTTAGAAATTTCTTTTTTTTTTCTACGAATCTTGCTTTATCTTTCTAAATAAATGTTTATGATGATATCTGTAGAATTCAAAGAGTTATAGGCTTTTTACTTTAAGCCTGACAAAAATAAATCAAAGTGTATATTGAGTTTATGGAGCACTATTGTCAATTTCTGAAAATATTAAACTTTCTCAAAATGCCTTGATTTTCTTCGGATGATAGGAATACTAAACATCCTACGAATTTTTTACGGGATCGCGTATTTTGTATTACTTTCAATCAAGTGTGAAACCAACACCTGGTAAAAATAATACTTCTATTTGCCACCATTTGGTAAATAAAAATTTCCCAACATTTTCATTCATTTCGATCAAAATGACTAACCAAATGATGTTATAAAACTTAAAATCCGTTTAAAAGTTGAGAATTATTGCAAATAGCATTCGCAAGACCCCCGGGCAACAACTGTTATTTTGCACTTAATATCCTTTCTTCCCTTTAGACTCATAGACTCCAAGTGGCAAGCCTTTAATGCCATCAACACACGCACACTCACTCACACACACATATATTTACACAGTCTAAGTCATAGCTTTTAAAGTTTTGGTGTTATCCTACGTCTTCTCGGCAGTGGATGGCAAAAAGTTTCAAAAGGACTTTTCAAAGGTTTTTGGAAGGAAATTAAGCCTTTATCGTCACAAACTGTGTATTAGACACATGAGTTATGGTGGTAGTGGTGTTGGCGGACCAGTGTGCTGCTGTTGTTGTTGCTGCAGATGTAAAACTAATCCTAAGGCCTTGCAAAGGCAACGCAGACGAAAACAGCCCCAAAGACATTTGGACTGTAAATGCCATAATTTATATTTATGTATATTTCACAGGGCCTGGTTGGTGATTATTGCCATCGATTAGTGCCAGTCATTAAAGTTGCTGTATTTTGCGATTTAAATTTTTTACAAAAAGGGAAATACATTCGAAAGTGTGCGTACGAATTGTTTTAATTCGTTTTGCTGCTGGCAATAACCTGAAATCAATAAACGTTGCAGTTTTCTTGCCACGTGTCAAAAAAGTTTATTCAGAGTTATGGGAAAATCCATTGCCAGCCAGCCATTCGAAAATAACAATACAAAATCATTACGATGCGATAAGGCAGGTAATAATTGTTATTGTTCTTTGATACTTCTTACAAATTCATATTGCCACACAAGCAAAAATAAATTGCCAATATAATATGGTTATTATTGTGAAAGTAGCATTGTTATCGATACGGCAATAAATGAAGATAATTACGGCAATAACAAAGGTGTTTTTACTATATTTTTATACAATTTTCGAAATTTTCATCAGGGTGATTGCTGAATGTTTTTGAGAATGGATGATTGTGGTGATAGCTATAGGGGTTCTTGGGGAAAATAAATATTTTGTAAAGAGAGCGGTTGCATATTGCGCTTTTTATTGCTTTTAATTATTTTTTT